TTCACTTACGCATGTGGAATTAACAAAAAACCACTAAAATAGTTTTAAAACTTACTACAAGACTACTGAAACTTAAAAATTGACAAGATCCTTTGTGAACAAAGTAAAGTAAAAAATTATAAACAACCCTCCCGAACAATTATAAAATTATAAAAATACTCTCAACAATGTAAAACTTAGAAAAAAACACTACAATAATCGAAATATACAAACAGCCCCGACCAAACTTAAAAACATTATATTGAAATTCTAGGAACTCCAAACAACATCCTAAAAAATTTGATTTTGCATAGAACAAGTTGAAAGTTTCGTAATTACAAAAAGCACCCTCAAACTTCAAATTTTACAAAATAACCCTTAGAATTTCAACCTATAAACAATAAACTGAAATATGGGAATTACAAACAAACCCCTCAAAATTTTAGAGTTTGACAAAAACAACCTAAAAATTTTGTAAATTGTAAAAACCACCATCATACTTCAAAGTTGACAAAAAAACCCTTGGAAAATTCAGACCAATAAATTATCTATGACAATATAGCGTCACAAACAACCCCCTGAATATTTGGACTTACCAAAAAACACCCATAAATTTTCAAAAATTGCAATAAACACCCTAAAAAATAAGAATCTACTAAAAACGCCCTAAAAATTTCAAAGACAAAGTTTATAAATGTCAAATTAGCAACAAACGCCCTAAAAATTTAGAAAATTGTAAAACACACCCTAAAAGTTTATAAAATTGTAAAAAGCCCCAAAAAATTAAAATTTACAAAAACACTTGTCTGTACGTTTTGATTTGTTCAAAGTGTGTTCTGTAAATTTTGAATATTTGAGGGTGTTTTCCACAATTTTTGAAACTTCACATTTCTGGGTTTGAAATTTTCTAGGGTGCTTTCTACAAATTTCATAACTTCCAGGGGGATGTTTATAATCCTATACTGTCAATACATTTCTGGGTTTGAAATTTTTAGATGTTTTTGTAATTTTTAAAATTTTGAGGGTTTTTCTGTAATTTTTGAAACTCGTAGGGTGTTTTCTATAAATTTTAAATTGTGCATAAGGTTTTTTGTAATTATCACATTTTCTAGGAGGTTGTTTATAAATTTAATATTTTCAGGGGGCCTTTTGCAATTTGTAGATTTTAAGTTCAGAGTGATGGAGATCCTTCTGTGTTAAATTTTAACCCTTATGACATGTTATCCCAAACACAACACATGAATATTTCTCGCACTCATTGTTCTAGAGTAATAATTACCATGTTTAAATTAACCCCAATTGGTTTAACCTTATATACCAAACAATCCCTTAGATGTTGACTAGAAGAGCGATCCGACTACCAAGTTATTCACGACTAGCTATTACTAAATAATGGAGAAATAATTTTGTCCTATTCTCCTCCTCAATAGGATTGCCTATAGACAGAGAGAGCCATCTCTAGAATTCCCTTTCCCCCTCCAAGGACCAACAAAAATAGAGGAAAAAAAGGGTGCGGGAAAATAATTTCGTAAAGCTTCCCGGGGCCTAAAGAAAATTTCCTTTAAAAAAAACAAGTTACATATTTTCCTACCCAACCCAACAAGAAATATATATTTGTTTAGCTCACTTCCAACAAAGGAACAGAAGTTTAAAAAAAAAATTTCAGTATAAGAGCACACAAGTCATGCTCCAATGAGATGACGAGCATAAAAAAAGAGCACACCAAAATGGCATCTTCTTGGCAAGGTCTCTTTAACTTCTCCGCTTACACTTGCCCCCATTCCCTCCACTCGCATTTCACCAATACAAAGCCTTCTAAGATTCTCATCCCAAAATCATATAAAATAAAACACAATAACCCTTGAAGATACTCTGATCTCCTAAATTTTTTAATTAAGAAAGTTGATTTCACCTTTCGTATAGCACAAGCAGTTGTCTCACACACTCAATTCAAAAAAAAAAAAAAACAAAAGTTTGAAGGCTTTGGTGGGATTTAATCGGTGCTAGAAAGGTAAAGGTCCACGCCTATAGAAGATGAAGAAGATGCTTTGAATGGAGTCAATGGCGACGCCATACTAAAAAAGAGAGTGGAAGAAGAGCACAAAAGTTAGAGAGGTTGATGTGGCCATAAACTATCATTATATTATCTTTAACTGAGATTTAGTAATCAAAGTTATTATTTTTATACAGAGAGGGATGGGAAAAGGCATGTGATGATGAACAGCAAGAGATCCCCCATATCACAACATAAAAGATCATGCAAATGTTTCCATGGCCACCACAAAGGCTACCCTGAACTTATCATTAGATGAAACCCCAACAATAGACGTCTCTGTGCACTTGTCTCTGAATAATATATATATATTTTGATTGGGGGTCGGGCTGGTCCTTTAAAAGAGAAGCAAAATGATGTAAAGAAATAGAAAGTGACCTCGGAGGGCTGAAAATAGTAATGAGGATGGACTAGATCGACTTTCCTACGTCACTTTTAAGCTGAAGTTTGCTTCTCCTCGTGAGGGCAATGATTCGAATCTCTGAGGTGCGTCCCCCCCCCCCCCCCCCCCCCACCCAATTTGATAACCATTGCTTTAGATAGAAGTTTTTTTAAAAAAAAACGTTTTGTAAAATTAATGAGCAAAATCGACTTTCTCATCAAAAAAAAAAAGCAAAATCGACCTTTTCTAATGACGGGACTAGTAGTCCCGTCCATTTCATGTCCAACTCTCTGCACATTTCACGACAAAGCTCAATTAATCAAAGAATTCTCAGTGACATCCTCACGACCCAATCCATGTCCTTCACCTTCTTCTCCTTCTCTCTAACATCTTCACCCTATCAAGAACCATCTCAGCCGCTCCCTCAACCCCACATCCCCCCTCCCTCTCAATTTCTTATCTCCAACGCCTCCTCAATCATCTCTCAGCTTCGTCGATTGACCACGTCAATTCCCAACTCCTCCCTCGCTTGCTTAGCGAACTTCTCCATCCTCCGATCCTGGATCGGGTTCTTGACACTCTTAACGGCTTTCGACCGCCACGAGGGGCGAGCGACGGTGGTGAAGTAGGAGATCAAGACGAGGAGAGGGGATCGGCGACGACGGTGGTTGTGGTTGATGTAGTGGATCCATTTGGGGATGACGGCGATCTCATTAGCGTAAGCGGTCTCTATGAAGGTTTGGGCTTTGTCGTTGAGGCGAGCGATGTGGATCTCGACGTCGGTGACGCCATCTCCACCTACGCCAACCGTCACGCGAGGCGGGACGACGCAGCCTTGATGCCCTCGAGCACAATGGTCTCCTCCTCCAGGCCCCCTCCTCCCCTACGTCTGCTCCGTCTACGGCCGCAAGTGCCGCACCAACCTTGACCTCAAGAAGCACTTCAAGACCCCCCATGAGCGGGAGTGGAACAAGAGGCTCGCGAGGATGAGGCAGCTTAGGGGGAAAAAGAGGTTGAGGCGGCGAGGGAGCTGATCACGCCGAAGAGGGGGTACGGGTTGGCGGATCTGTGGGTGAACTTATAAAATCCTAAGCTCTACTAGTTGGGGGGAGAGGCGGATCTGTGGGTGGAGAGTGGGGGAGGTGCAGAGAGTTGGGCATGAATTTGCTAGTGACAGGAGGAATGTGTTGGGGAGGGAGGTGGATCTATGGGTGGAGAGTGGGGAGGTGCAGAGAGTTGAGCATAAAATGGACGTGACTACTAGTCCCGTCCATTTGGAAAAGGTCGATTTTGCTATTTTTTTTATGAGAATGTTGATTTTGCTCATTACTTCTACAAAACGGTTGTTCTAAAAAAATTGTCCTTTTGAGTTTCTTCTTGAAAGGCTAAATACCCATATTGGTATTTTAATTTCATCTCATTTACCAAGAATGTATTTTAATTAGGCAAACCTGCTTTAAAGCATTTTAATTGATTCAACTTACCAATAATGTTATTTTTCTCGTCGGCGACAAGTTTTCCGACGAGAGCTCGTCACGTGCATGGCATGTGATGACTTAAACTGTTTTTTAACTGCTGATGTGGCATAAATCTGTCCTATTTTGGGTAAATTAGGATTTTTAAAGGGTTAATTCTCGTCTTTAAACACTGTCACGTCAGAAAATCCGTGCCACATCAGCAGCTAAAAAACAGTTTAAGTCATCACGTGCGTGACACGTGACAAGCTCTCGCCGGAAAACTGATCGCGGACGAGAAAAATGGCATTGTTGGTAAGTTGAATCAATTAAAATGCATTAAAATAGGTTTGCCTAATTAAAATATCTTCTTGGTAAATGGAGAGGAATTAAAATACCAATATGGGTATTTAGCCCTTCTTGAAAAGCAGTGATCATGAAAAGTGCTGGTAGTACAAGCATAAGTTCAGGTCTAGAGCTGTACATATTGTACGGATAAACAAGGTTGAAGTGCTTACTCTGAACTAAAAATTCAGAGACCAGTATAGAACAAAAAACTAAGGTTCCCTCCGCATTTTCATTCATGTCCTACCTAAATTCGAGAACTAATAAATCTTATTGGAAACAATTTCATAAGATTGACATAATCCATAAATTTGTCATGTTAAGATCAAGATTGATCAATAGCATCCTCAGATTAAATATTTGATATATTTGTTTCTAAACAATAAAGCTGGGAGATGAATCTATGGTATATGAACTTAAAAAGGTAAAACTTGAAATTTTTACGTGTTGATATAAATACTTGTCAATATCTAATTAGATACCCAAGTGTAGAATCCCATAGCCAAACTATTCTAAACTCAGAGAAAGATACAATTCTACAAATCTAGTTTCTTCCTGATGATCAACAAGAAAAATACTTGGAACATAAACCTACATATCCTGGAGCTTAAGGATAAAAGTATATCATCCGATGTCCATCTGAATCATTGTTCGTTATATTACACAGTTTAACATTAGGTTTCTCCATGTAATTAATTAAGCACTGAAGTTTTATATATAGACAATAATTCAAACCATTAAGACCACAACTTAGACATGAAACTGCAAAGAGATTATGAACATAAACTACTGTATACAAGCCACTCTAGCATTGTTGTCATAATGGACAGATTACAATAATAAGCAATTCAATAAAGTTGCCAAAATTGCAACATTTATTATGTAAATAACAGAGATGAAACATGTTTACTTCCAACAACACTCCAACTTGATATATTGAAGCATAGTCCAATATGATTTGAAGAGCTGTGTTCATATAGGTTACTTAGGAAGTAAAAGGAGTAACTTTGCAAATTTAAGTCATGTCTCCAAATGCCACAAGCCTTTGCTAATATTAAGTTATATCATCCCAAATATTTAACCAAATGTAAGTTTTTAAAAGTTCATTAAACGGTTTTGATAAAAATCGTACGAAACATCCATTCCATATAATTGTAGTTTGTAACTTTGTATGCCTATAAAACTACGGTTGTGTACTTGCATTCAACTCCTTGAATTTTCCGTTACAATCTTACAGACAATAGTGTCAACACATAAGATTTTTGATAACCATAAAAAAATGTCAGAAAGATTAGAGAACATCTTGTTTAGCTACCATGTTATTGTTTAGTTATTGAGCTACGGACATAACAAGTTAACATTCATGTCTCTTCCACAAATGGTAGAAAGTCTGCATTAAAAGTCCAAGTTCCTACATGCAATTAAACATGTATTTTCGTATCACAAAGTTCTACATCTTTCAACTCACTCTTACATGAAGTTTTATGTTCTTCACTAGTGTTCAAGAGGCTAAATATTTAGGTGGTTAATTTTACACTGTAATCATCCTTTTAGATGTTTCAGCATTTTCAAAAGTGTAATAGTAATTGCACTTGTCATTGCAACATGTCACAGGATGTGCAGTTGATTACTGTATCTAGGTATAAGACCTAAATTTTGGTACAAAATAAGTATGAGACAGCATATGAGAAAGCGTAAAGTAAGCAATCATCAAAAGTTTTTTAAACAAAATAGGTTTTGTATAATTCACTTTTTGAGATACATCTATTACGTTAGATAAAGCCATGAAATCGATATAGTACCTGTGAATTTATAAGCAAATGGACTACTTACATTATTGTAGGTAAATACACATGTTCAGCATCCCATGAAGTAGAACCGGTTTTGCTTCTCTAATCTCCCCAGTATCATTTCTGCAAACTTGTGGAGAGGACATTCCGTAACCAACTTAACATCAAAACTTCAAATATTGACATACTTATAAAGTTCAACATAGAATTATAACAGATTACAACATTGTCTCCTACAAGCTAAGCATCCCAATTTTGCTTGCACACTTACAAGTTAAAATACTCGGCTTAGGTGATAAGCTTCTTTAAGAAAGAAAAATGATTAACTAAGATAGAAATGTAGACTTCATCTTATTCAGGTACATGTAAGAGCATGTGTCCTTAGGTAAAAGATGAGGACACAGTAGATGCAAAGTTATAAATATATTTAATAATTCCTAATAATTGATTCGGCTGAAGCAATCAAAAAGAAAGTTCCCAAGTTGCCTCCGCCCTCAAAAGAGTATGCAGCATAAAGAAATCTTTTCTATTGTATATATAGAATAATAGATCTTAAGATTTCCTCTTTAGGATAATTCTCTTTAGGATAAATATCAGTCAACCTTAATGAGAAGAAACAAGAAAACTGAAATTCATGAATGATCCAGAGCACTACAGGTAGCAGTAAGCAAAGCAGTTATTTCTTGCTCTATTCAAGTCACAAGTAAATTTATTTGCATGCTTTTTGTGATTTCTAAGCAGTGCACATTAGCTGTTTTACAAGTCCCTCTCCTCTATTACTGCAACTTATTCAAATTTATCATCATTTTGTGTTTAATATAAAGGCATATATCATGATGAAACCAGCAATCAAAATTTATGTTAATGTACTCAGATGAACAACCGACAACAAAAAAAATGCATATATTGCGTCATACCTTACTTCCCAGCATTGCTATAGAAACCATAAAGGAACAAACTCACTTGACCCAACTAGGGAGTGAAATAAAAGTGAACAATATCCCCTTTACTCCAGTTCAAATGAGAGATAGTCCAGTACTCCATATATTTCTTGCCATTGAGGGTGAGATGCATCCCTCATTAAGAATTCATGGACCTTATCGTCCACTTCTATCGAACTGAATCCTGCCACTTTGGCCACACCTCTTTCTCTCATGAAGCGCCTTACTTCTTTAACTCTATCCCAGAGCTGTGCTCGAGCATAAATATTAGAGAGAAGCACATAATTGCCCGGATTTTCTGGCTCTATCCTAAAAAGTTCATTTGCAGCAATCTCGCCAATCTCAACGTGACAGTATGTAACACAAGCATGTAGAAGGGCTCCCCAAACCCCAGCATGGGGTTCAACTGACATAGTCTTAACCAAGTTGTAGGCCTCCTCTATAAATCCTGCTCGACCAAAAAGATCAACCATGCAAGCATAATGATCAACAGAACGCTCAACTCCATAGTTACTTCTCATGCAATTGAAATAATATTGACATAACTCGAGATGACCAGTTTGACTGCAAGCATTTAAAATGCCAATAAATGTAACCCTATCAGGCTGGATATCTTTTTCTTGCATCTCAGGAACTAGCTTCAAGGCATCTTCTCCATATCCATGGTTTACAAAGCCACAAATCATCACATTATATGAGACTACATCCTTGATTGGTAGCTCAGTAAAAACTTGGTAAGCTTCACGTATAGCACCACATTTACCATACATGTCAACCAAAGAATTGTACACAAAAGTATCAATCTCAATGCAACTTTTATATAAGATTCCATGGAATTGCCTACCAACTTTTAGAGCACCTAATTGACTGCAAGCAGACATCATCGTGGTCATGGTAACATGATTGGCTCTCATATGACTGGAAGCCATCTCATTGAAGAGCTGTATACAATCACTCCACCTTCCATTACGAGAATAACCAACCATCAAACAATTCCAAGACTTAATATTTTTCTCTGGATTTTGATCAAAAATCTCCCTAGCAGCCGACATATTGCCATTGTCAGCATAACTGGATATCATGATACTCCATGAAATTGAATCTCTGTGAACCATTTCATCAAAAACACTTTTAGCAGTCTCCAAATCACCAACTTTGGCATAATATGCAATCATAGTATTGCACACTGCAACATTTTTTTCCGGCGTAGTCCTGAATAGATGTTTTGTTTCTTGTTTGTAACCAAACTTGGAATACATATCTAGCAGTGTTGTTACGACATAAGGAGAGGAACTAAATCCAAGTTTAGTTGAATGAGCATGGATTTGTTCCCCTTCACTGATGGCCTTAAGAAGTGAACAAGCTTTAAGCACAGAAGACAAAGTAAAATTGTTTGGATGAACTCCACGTTCATGCATCATCCTATATATTGATATGGCCTCCTTCACAATCTTGGTTTGATGGTTGGAATATGATACGACCATTGTTGTCCATAGGAAAACATTTGCTGAACTTTTACAGGAATCAAAAATTCTACGGGCATGATCAACATTCCCCAATGTCTTGCTGCAAAATGACACAAGCTTAACTGCCACATAGTTCTCGTTCTGAAGCCCGCTGATGAGAACTTGAGCATGAATTTGCTTCAATGTTTTCAATGATTTGCATCTTTCTAGGCAGAGTAGAGCATTTCTCAGAATTGCATGCATCCGAGTGAAAGCAGTACAGGATTTTGCTTCAATAACAGCTCAGCACCATAGCTTCTGCTCAAAGAATAAAAAAAAGTTCAGTCAATTTGTAGTCACTAGAGCCAAGACTTGTAAAGGACTTCGATGCATTTAGCAGGTGAGAGGACATTGAATAAGCTACCACCATAGCCTAGTGTACCAAGAAGGAGCATTAAAGTCACAACAATCTGCAGAAAAATTAACCTAATTTATAGGAAGAAGCAATTGAGAAATACAAATACTGCAACAATAATAAAAATGATTATGTACCATCCAGATCTGTCTTTTGAATCCTAAACTTCAAGATATAATTAGGATTTATATATATATTGAATTAATAATGTACATGAGATCTTTTTTTTTCCACTTCATGTGTCATTAGAATTAAAATTCCGATCGCATTTTTAAGTTTCTTTTATCATATTGATTATCATAAATTGGAAGCTCTCATTTTTTGACAGACATCCAAACGAACCTTTAACTATATAGTTTTGAACTTGGGTATGGACTGAAATGAACCCGACCCATATCTAACTAGTTTCAAGAAATGGATGTGAAGTGTACGCTATACGTCCAAGAAGCGTTTGACAAGTGTTTTAAATTAACACATATATCGTATAATTGAGTATACGTTGTAATAAATGTATGCATATATTCAAGACGTGTCCATGAAGTTTGGGTACGGAAAAGTGTTGGGTACGTGGCCGGTATGAGTATGGCTTCATTATAGAAGTACCCGAGTAACGTAGTTCATGACAAATGTCCAACCAGTGATTACATGACAGCCTACAAACCACATTAAAGCCCTATCAGATAACGAGTTCCCAATTTAAGATATATCCATTAAGCAAAACAGAGTTTGTTAAAAACAAAGGCTCCATTATATCTAGAAGAATTGGCCACAAAGTTCATCTCTATGACTCATATTTCTCTAGATTCAAGAGTTCTTACCTACTCGCCAGTTTCATTAAATTATTAGTTATTAGGGAGGAAAGCAGACATTACCTTTCACAGGATTCTAATTTCAAAGAAGTTTGACTGCTCAATTCTTCCAAGGGGGTTATGCTTCTCTTTGCTCATTCAAACCTGCTACTAAAGAGTTCTCTTCTCCTCTACTACTTTTCAGAGCCTAAAATTCACACTAATCATAACTATTGCAGGGAATTCTCCTTCATAACTAAATTTCTTATCTCTTTCAAAGTGCTTCCAATCCGATCCACACCACAATTCCGTCATTAATGTTGCATGCTGAATCATTTCAATCTGCATTAAGAGATCCAAAAATTCCTTTCCAAACCAGTCAAATCCCTCTATCAAGCCTCTCCACAATGGTGATCATTTTACTAGAAAAGAGCATTCTGGGCATGATTATTGTTTTCTTTTTTAGAAAACAAAGAACTTTCGACCTACTAATTGAATCACCACCACCCACCCTAAGAAGAAATAACTGACCAGAAGTACAAAACACAGAAGGGACAAAAAAAAGAAGGAAAATAGCTAGCTAAGCAGGGATATTTAAAAAAAAGGCTTACAGGTACTCTTCATTCTTAACAGATTTCAAATAAACAGACAATGACAAATACAATAAAAAAAGACTATTTAAAGAAAAATGTAACCACTAACTACTCACCTTTCGACTTCCATAGGTAAAGAAAAGAAAAACTAATCCCAATTATTCATTTTATTCTCAAGAATCATCATGTGACATTGGAGCAGAAAGTAACAAATGCTAAAATGAGGCAGTAGTCCACATTCTTAGACACCCTTTAATACACATGCAGTAAGTTTCTCTTATAAGCTTAGATTCCAAAATAGCAGATTACAAAGAATAATATATAGATGACTAAACACTCATTTTTATTAATGTCACGAGGAATCATTTACAGTACACAAAATTCCCATCTCAAAATATTGGAGTTTGCTCCATGTTATACATCTAATTAACTTATGGATAGACGAGTAGCATTACTAAAATATCAAATGTGTTAAAACCATTAGTTTACGATATACAATCAGTTGGTTTCAATATCGGATTGGGGTTAGGTTGTAGTTGTATTGCGATTAAGATGAACCAGTCTAATATCATGTATCTAAATTTCCAGTAATCTTTTAGAATAGACCAAAAGATTCACAAAACTGAATACTAATTCAAAGCCCAAACTTCAAATGTGATCACAAGTTAGCATTATTAAAAGATCAATTATTTTAAGGCCACTCAAGACCTAGAGTAACCAAAACAATATAACAAACATCAAGGTTTACAATGTAGAAGCACGGAGATTTGCAAAACTTTGAGCACAAAGTTTCCAACTTTTTTATTCAAATTTTCATAAAATACAAAAAAAAAATTAACCGAATTTCAAGCTAAATTTTCAAAAATTAGGCCTCCACCATTCACCTCTCCGCTGCTTTGTCCATCCAAACCCTTTAAATCTTCGGCCATCATTCGCTGCCTGTTCTGTGCTTGCTTCTCAACGGCAACAAAAAACATACCTAAAAATGGTAATAGAAAAAAAAGAAAAGAAACCCTAAATTAGAGCCCAAAAAATTCTTAAAAAATGATGGGATTTTTAAAGAAATTGAAGGGAGATTACTTATTGCGCTTCCAATTGCACAGACCCAGAGGATTCTCCGCGGCCATTTATCGCCGACGACACCTCGATTTTCCAATCCCATGATTTTATTTTAAAAGGGGGTGGGGAGT